GCCGGTTATTGTAGACGACGCTTAAGATAAAACAAAGTTTTTATTTTAATAAACGTGACGAGTTAATATGGAATACGCTAAAGCTTGTGCGCTATCTACGTTTACACTTGCGTCTTTGCCGTAAGCTGTTACGTTGCTTTGTGCTCTGACCCTTAAGCGTCGTCTACAATAACCGGCGTAAGCGTGGAGTAAGAAGTAAGAGTAGGAGTAACGTTTTTGGCGTAAGCTGTTTACGCCGACTCAATCTACAATACGGTGAAGTAGGTGTAGGCATGCGTGAAAAGGCGTAAGAGTAAGAGTAGGCGTAAAAAATAAAAATAATTCATTTCGCTTACGCCCTTACTCCAGCTCCATTAAACCGGAAGTAGCTCTCTAAAGGCTGGTCTACAATACATGGAGTAAGCTGGAGTAAGCTGGAGTAAGGAGTAGGAGTAAGGAAATAAATCCATTTTATTTCTTACTCCTACTCCTTACTCCAGCTTACTCCATGTATTGTAGACCAGCCTTTACGCCTACTCTTACTTCTTACTCCACGCTTACGCCGGTTATTGTAGACGACGCTTTATGCGTTGAAGCGATAACCACAGAACATATACATACAATGATTAGCTGTGCTAGGCTGCATCGGAACGGAAGTTTAATGAAAAATGGCGGAGCCAATCACAATCGGGAAACGATATTGGCGTAACTCTACGTATAGGAATTCTCAAGCCCGTATCAGACTACGGATTGAGATTGAGATTAGATTGAAATTTGACCAATTAGAATAAAAGTTGCTAAACTTGAGATTAGTAAACTTTACTGTGATTGGTCAAATTTCAATCTAATCCCAATCTCAATCCGTATCTGATATGGGCTTAACGGAGTTGAACCAACTTCAACTTTCTGCGGCTGCGACAAGCGTGTCGCGTGAGATCAGCCAATCGTAGTACGTTGGCGCTAAAAGTGATTTGCCTGGGCGTTGATAGCAGCTAGCTGGTCCATAGTGAGTTTTCTTATTAATGTTTTGTAGTAATGTAAACAACGTAGAAAATGGAAGCTGAGGACCATCTTATTGTCAGCGCAGACAAGGAGATAATAGCCTTTGTCCGCGCAAACTCCCTGTCGCGGCAGAAGCGCATTAAAATTAATAAAAAGGACAAGGGTGCCATCAATCAAGCGTTTTCGCTTAGCAAACGGCAATGTAAAGACAGTAAATTTAAAAATTGGGAACCAAGCCGTGGAAAGATTAATAATCGCCGGGCGTCCATTGTGGCTGCGATCGATTTGACGGTATCGCGAATCCTTGCGGCTATTGTAGACACTCGTTCAGCGACCCTCTTACGACATGCGACAAACTTTCCTGCGACATTATTACACGCGACATGCGACACAGCCTGGTCCTACCATTGTAGACGAGGCTTTAGGTTACCCTTTACGGAAGATGACAAGTCACCCCGAGTGGAGAAGCGTGCACATGTTGCGCCTTCTCCGTCTCTCTTTCTCTTTCCCCGCGTACGTGTTTGATGTCGATCAAAACGTCCTCGTGTTTACTCATCAGCGGATTTTCTCTCTCTCTCTCTCTCTTTCTCAAGGAGTCGAAATTAGAATTTCATCAGGGGGAAAAAAGAGAGACGCGTCCCTCGATAATACAATACCACCGGAAAGGTGTACGTCTTCAGCCTCGTTCACGAGGGCTCGATTTCCGCGCTTTAGCGCGCGCCGCCTTTCGTCGGCGCGGCCGCGGTCCCCCGTCCGTCGCGCTTGTGTAACCGCAATTATAATATTCATACGTGAGTCACGGAACATTGGGAGCCGCGAAGGGGGGAAGGAAAAAAAGTATCGAACGCAGCCATGGTCGTCGATTTGCAAATCTAACATGGTTGCGCGCCGCGCGATCGTGCATGCACCCGCGGTAATGACCGGACCGCTCTCGCGCCCGTTTCCCCGTCCCCGATCCTCGGCCTCGCGGGTAGAAACCGCTCGCGGGATCGACGACGGGGCGCCCCGCGTGAGGGCGGGCTCGAACGGCTCCCCGCTCGCGTTCGCGAGGACGAATCGGCGATAGACATAATTGCATTTGCGCCATGTTACGACGCGTCCGCCGCGCGAAAGACGAAGAGAGAGAGAGAGAGAGAGAGGAAAAAAAAGGAAAACGCCGAGTTATGGATCCGCGTTTCACGCATACACGCGCGCCGCGCCGTTGTCGTTGTGTGCGGGGCACGCAGGTGGACACGCAACGCACACACACACATATACACGCGCGCGCGCGCACGTTGCTCCAGCCGGCGTCTAACCTCCACCGTCGCGCGCGGCAGGCGGCCCGGCGACGAAGACGGAGGTTCGCGAGTGAACGGACCTCGCGACCGGATCCCACGTCCTTCGCCGGAATCGTGACGCCGCGCGCCGGTGGAAATTAAGCGCGCGCGCGCGAGCGTTGTACGTGTGTACGTGAGAGCGCGCGCGCGCGGCGCGTACGCGCGCTCGTATGTCAAATGTACGTAGCGTACGTATGGCCCTATTAAAGAAAATGGCGGATGTACAATCGCGATGTGAGGCGCTCGCGGAACGTTGATCGGTTCTGAAAATTGCGTGCGCGAGTTCCCTTTCCGGCGTCCTCGCCGTCGCCGCCGCCGCCGCCACTGTGCGTGGATCTCACGTCGCCTCTCTCTCTCTCTCTCACCTCTACACGTCGGTAGCACCTTCTCGAGGTTCTCGCCCGCGCTCTCCGCCGTGTGTACATTATTAAGGATACGCCGCGCGTCGCGTCGCGTCGCGAGGCGCGATTGATTCGCCCGTCGCCGCGTGTGTGCCTTTGGTGAGCCGTGGTGTGTCCGTTCGGCGATAAATCGGAGCGCGGGTACGAATTGGATTTGTTCGAGCCTCGCCTCGACTTATCCGGTTAATCCGTGTCTCGGATTGTTATTCGGAGACTCGGCCGGGCGGCCGCGGCGGATACAGGCTGTTTCGGATCGTTGTTCGTAAGGTATATATGGGAGAATGCAGGGTGCAGAGAGTGAACTCCTCGATCTCGGTTCAGCTTACCCTTTATCTGTTTCTCGGGAGTTGGAAAAAGATGAAGACTTAAAGTTAAACGGGGATTGAAATTAGTCCCCATTGGTAGAAGTGGGCATTAGAGAAGAACTCGCTTGAAAAGGACCGAAACCCATGGTCGAAACGTAGCGAGTCCTAAACGTTAAAATTGCCAGATACGGTCAACCAAATTTGACGTTTATTTATTGCCGGCGACCCTGAGGATTATTCCTGTTAGTTTATTAGAGAGGAAGTCGGTTTCTTTGCGAGACAGCGGTATTAGTTATTAAGATAGAGAGAGAGAGAGGCGTTGCTGATGTGAAAATAAATGTGTTTCTAGGAGAGGATGACATGGAGGAGACTGGAGGGCAGGTATCGAACGTTGGCCAGCAAGTAGATGGGTCATCTGACGCTGAGGAATCTCAAAGACTAGTAAGTTACACATTTGCAGCACTGTTAACAGGTTTATTAACATCACTTGAAATTTGTAGCCGCAAACGTCGCTGTTTTTTGTTTCCCTGATCGTATCTCGATAACGACCTGAATACTTTAGCACTCGAGTCTGCAGAAGCTCAAGACATGAACGTTCTTCTTTGTAGGAGGAAGATGACGATTACGAGCCAGAAGAGCGAAAGAAGAAGAAGGGAAAGAAACGGAAAGCGCGCAGCGAGGACAAAAAGGGGAAGAAAAAGAAGAAAAAGAAAAAATCTGATTCCGGAGATGTAAGGAAAACTCGCTGCTGCGCGTTTGCGCGAGACGCAACGCCGTCCCCGTGCAATTCCGGTTGGGGCGAATACGTTTCGCGCGACTACAACGTTTCACGTGAAATTTCAGGAGAGCGATTTCGGTGGCGGTGAAGCGGGCGACGCGGCTGGCGAGGACAGCGACTATGCGGTCAACAAGAAGAGCAGGAAATCGTCGTCCAGAAAGTCCTCCAGCCACAACACGCCGACCACTCAGAGTCAGGAGCCCACTACGGGCATGCCCACGATCGAAGAAGTGTGCAATACATTTGGCTTGACGGACGTACAAATTGAATATTCGGACGCCGATTTCCAGAACTTGACGACGTACAAGCTGTTTCAGCAGCACGTCAGACCGCTCTTGGCGAAAGAGAATCCGAAAGTGCGTACATTTTCACGCGTGCATTTATGTCGGTTAACGGCAGCTTATCGACCAACGCTGCGACTTGCTCGAATAATAACCTCTGCTTTCAAATAATTAGGTGCCAATGTCGAAACTTATGATGCTGGTGGCAGCCAAGTGGCGCGACTTCTCGGAATTAAATCCGCATACGCAACCAGACGCGGACGTCTCGTCCACGAATGTGGACGATGACAGTAGGAACGCTAGGACAAATCGGAGTGGTGCTATGCAAGAAGCCGAGGATGAGGAGGAGGATGATGAGGACAGCGACAGGAAGAGAAAATCTCGAGGCTCGAGGGCGAAGAAGGGGAAGAAGGCGTCGAAAGTACCGACGCTTAAGATTAAGCTTGGCAAACGTAAACGAGGCAGTTCGGTACGTGATCCGTCTCGAATATTTTAATCGGTTCCCGCGTGGACTTAACTTCTAAATCGATTATCAAATTGTTTAGGACGAAGAAGCGGAAGGTAGTGCCGCCGGTTCCGCGGCGGATTCGGACATGGAGTTCGAGCAGATGCTGGCCGACGCCGAGGAGACTCCCAATGCTGAGGGTAACAAGGGCAATGTTGAAGAGAGCGGGGTGGAGCCGCCGGCTGAACCGCCAGTTCGAAGAAAGGCGAAAACTAAAATCGGCAACAAGACCAAGAAAAAGAAGAAGACAAAAACGACCTCCAAGTTCCCGGATGGAGAGGAAGGTCTCCAGGTAGAGTTAAGCAGCATCTGCTTATGCGTTCATTGTTGTTTTAAGCGTGCCTGCGATCATGGACTGTCACATAATTATTCTCATACTAAAAGGCTTGAAGATTTATTTATAATTTGCTAGTCGACGCATGTCTAATCATTATGCTTGTTAATATTATCACAGCTGCGAATCCTTTTTATAATTTCCATTTAAACAATTTACATACAAATCTATCCGATACATAGGATTACCTTGACAATCGGTTGATAGTTAACAGAATAAATTTCTACATTTAATTAAGAAGGAACATGCGCGCTTCTGATATGTGCGAAATATAAGAGCCGATGGTGAAAGTGTACGTGCAAGTGAGGATAGTCTAGAGAACTTTAAGAACGCATATGCTACGTTGTCTGACTCTGCCTTAAAATAACTATAAACGTCTCTCCCTTTTTGCAACGTTTAAAGCGGCATAATTATTTTATGCGGCGTGCAACTTAATTATCATGTCTTAGTTTCCTTTAACATTTACATACATTGTGGTATATTTTCCATCATCATTACTTTACGCATCACTTTATCTTTATCAAAATAGAATAATTGTTTTCCGGCATTCTCTGTTGCTCTCTATAGACTGACCATCAGGATTACTGCGAAGTGTGTCAACAAGGTGGCGAGATCATATTGTGCGACACTTGTCCCAGAGCGTACCATTTGGTGTGCTTAGAGCCCGAAATGGAGGAGACACCCGAAGGGAAATGGAGTTGTGCTCATTGCGAAGGAGAAGGTATTGCAGGTACCCATGTCCGTCCCATGCCAAGCCTGACTTTCCTCGTCCTTTTCTAAAACGTGTTTCCGCTTATCGTTTAGCGTGCGACAACTACAGTTGTGTTTGTATTGTCAGGTGCAGCGGAGGATGACGATGAGCATATGGAGTTCTGCAGGGTGTGCAAGGATGGCGGAGAGTTATTATGCTGCGACAGTTGTACAAGCGCGTATCACACGCATTGTCTGAATCCTCCTCTATCAGAGATTCCTGATGGCGATTGGAAGTGCCCTAGATGCTCTTGCCCGCCATTGAGAGGAAGAGGTAATTTAGGAATGCACGTAAATACGTGTAGTTCATTCTAATAATTGTATTTCTTCTTTTAGTTGCAAAGATACTAACCTGGAGATGGAAAGAGTGCTCAGATACTCCGTCGGAAGAGCCTTCCACGAGTAAGGCTGCACCTAAGCAAAGGAAAATGCGTGAATTCTTTGTCAAGTGGGCGGATATGTCTTACTGGCATTGCGGTTGGATAACAGAACTGCAGCTTGACGTTTTTCATCCTCTTATGTACAGGTATAGAAACTCTTTCTCAGCAACGCACTACTCGCATAGATTTACCTATATGTATTGTACGTGGTATTTGATTTTTGTTTGATTTGATTGCAGGAATTATTACCGTAAATATGACATGGATGAACCACCGAAGTTGGAGGAGCCATTGGATGAAAGTGATACTCGTGTGAAGCGTTTGAAGGAGCAAGACGGTGCCACCAACAGGGACGAGTACAATTTGGAGGAACGTTTCTATCGTTATGGTGTGCGTCCGGAGTGGCTGGTGGTTCACAGGGTGATCAATCATCGATTGCAAAGAGATGGCAGGGCCACGTATCTCGTCAAGTGGAGAGAACTCGGTTACGATCAAGCGACATGGGAGGACGAACACGCGGATATCCCTGGTTTGAAACAGGCTATAGAGTATTACTTAGATCTCAGAGCTGCAAACTGTTGTGACGTTAGCTCGTCGCGTAAAGGGAAGAAAGGTGAGATAGATGCTTGATTCAGTTTCGTTACTCGCGCAAGGTACTTTGTGCCTCTAAAAGAAATGGAATGTAATTCAGGTAAAGGTAAGAAATCGAAGACACGCGAATTGATTGACGACGAGGAGAGGACTCCGAAACGATACACGCCACCGCCGGATAAACCTACGACGGATCTCAAAAAGAAATACGAGAGACAGCCGGAGTATTTGGATCAAACCGGAATGCAATTGCACCATTATCAGTTAGAGGTAAGTTTTGAATAGACTAAAATTCTATTTCCTCTACATTTAGATTTGCGTTACATTTCTACAATCTCTTAATTTACAGGGTTTAAATTGGTTGAGATATTCGTGGGGCCAAGGCATCGATACAATTTTGGCCGACGAGATGGGTCTGGGAAAAACCATTCAGACTATAACATTCTTATATTCCTTGTATAAAGAAGGCCACTGCAAAGGGCCCTTTTTGGTCTCCGTTCCCTTGTCTACCATCATCAATTGGGAACGTGAATTCGAGACTTGGGCACCTGACTTCTACTGTGTTACTTATGTGGGTTAGTATCATCCTTCTTTTTTATGAAAATGCGTGTGTTCAAGAAGATTTATATTAATATTCTGCTTTTATTTTAGGTGACAAAGACAGCCGTATTGTGATTCGTGAAAACGAATTGTCATTCGAAGAGGGTGCCGTGCGTAGCGGACGCGCCTCCAAAATTCGGTCGTCCTTGATTAAGTTTAACGTCTTACTTACAAGCTATGAACTTATCTCGATAGATTCGGCATGTTTAGGCTCCATCGATTGGGCCGTTTTAGTCGTAGACGAAGCTCACAGATTGAAGTCTAATCAATCGAAATTCTTTAGATTATTAGCCTCTTACAATATTGCGTATAAACTTTTGCTAACTGGTACTCCGTTACAAAATAATTTGGAGGAACTGTTCCACTTATTGAATTTCTTGTGTCGCGACAAGTTCAACGATCTAGCAGCGTTCCAAAACGAATTTGCGGATATCTCGAAGGAGGAGCAAGTTAAAAAGCTGCACGAGATGCTTGGTCCACATATGTTGAGGAGATTGAAAGCTGATGTATTGAAGGTAATTCAGTAGATTATGTTATTACAATATGTGCAATTTTACAGTCCAAACCACTTGATACTGTTTTAGTAAGATTTTGTATGTCTTCAGATATACATACTTTTTTAGTTAGCATGTTATATTGGTATTATAACAAGTATATTTCTTTGTAGAACATGCCTAGCAAGTCTGAATTTATTGTACGTGTCGAATTGTCACCAATGCAGAAGAAATATTACAAATACATATTAACGAGGAACTTTGAGGCTCTCAATCCGAAAGGAGGTGGTCAGCAAGTGTCATTATTAAACATAATGATGGATCTCAAGAAATGCTGCAATCATCCGTACTTGTTCCCCGCTGCATCGCAAGAAGCACCAACTGGACCAAACGGAAGTTACGAGACGTCAGCTTTAATTAAAGCAGCAGGCAAATTGGTCCTGTTGAGTAAAATGCTCAAGAAACTGCGGGACGACGGACATCGAGTTCTTATATTTTCTCAAATGACCAAGATGTTAGATATCCTCGAGGATTACTTGGAGGGTGAGGGATACAAGTATGAAAGAATAGACGGTAATATAACGGGTGCGCAGCGTCAAGAAGCCATCGATAGATTTAACGCTCCTGGCAAGTATTTTGTGAGATTATGTTTTTCCTGTTTTTATGTAACTGGAAATTCTCAGAATAAACTAGACCGATTTTTATCCCTGATTTCTATTATATAATTATAATAAAACACACGAGGGAAAAGTTCTTTATCTATTTCTTAATTAAAATTTTGCAGGTGCCCAACAGTTTGTTTTCTTGCTTTCTACGCGTGCTGGTGGTTTAGGTATTAACTTGGCAACGGCAGATACTGTGATTATTTACGATTCCGATTGGAATCCGCACAACGATATCCAAGCGTTTAGTAGAGCTCATAGAATAGGTCAGGCCAACAAAGTTATGATCTATCGATTCGTCACACGTAATTCCGTGGAAGAAAGGGTAACGCAAGTAGCTAAGCGCAAAATGATGCTCACTCATTTGGTTGTGCGACCAGGCATGGGTGGCAAAGGCGCCAACTTCAGTAAACAGGAGCTTGATGATATTTTACGTTTCGGTAATTTTCATACATTAATACAATTAGTGAGCTAATATTGAAACCGTCTGAATGGAAATTATTACTGCCAAACCATTTTTTCTAATAATTACTCATCTTGGTATAATTAGAGTAAGTTTAACGCGACAATTTTTATTCAGGTACGGAGGAATTATTCAAGGAAGAGGAGGGTAAGGAAGACGAAGCTATACATTACGACGACAAAGCCGTCGCCGAATTACTGGACAGAAGTAAGGAGGGTATTGAGCAGAAGGAGAATTGGGCTAACGAGTACTTAAGTTCCTTCAAGGTCGCCTCGTACGTAACAAAGGAAGGTGAAACGGAAGAAGAAGCCGATACGGAGATAATTAAGCAAGAAGCGGAGAATACAGATCCGGCATATTGGATCAAGCTGCTTAGACATCATTACGAGCAACAGCAGGAAGATATCGCTAGAACACTTGGGAAAGGTTCGTTTACATTGATATATGCGAAGACACATGTTAAAGTAGTGTATTCGCAATTCTATTAACACACTAAATCATATACGTACTTTCATGCACATCTAATTCATTGCAGGTAAACGAGTACGAAAACAAGTTAATTACACGGATGGAGGTGTGACCGGTGACCAAGGCGCAAGAGATGATCAGCCATGGCAGGAGAATTTGTCAGACTATAATAGCGACTTCAGCGCGCCCAGTGACGACGACAAGGAGGACGATGATTTCGACGAGAAGGGTGATGGGGACTTGCTCTCTCGCAGAAGTAGAAGACGACTGGAGAGACGCGACGAAAAGGATAGACCTCTGCCACCTCTACTTGCCAGAGTAAATGGAAATATCGAGGTTGGTTTTTCAGAAAACTGTGCAAACATATATGTATACATTTTGTACAAATTTTCAAATATCGAACTAGGAAATGGGACCCAGTAAAATATTACAAGAAAATAATTTTCACAGGTTCTAGGTTTTAATGCTAGACAACGGAAAGCATTCCTCAATGCAATTATGCGTTACGGGATGCCACCTCAAGACGCTTTCAATTCTCAGTGGTAAGCCATTTTATAAAATTATTACAATATATACATATATCACTGTTTATTTCCATCATGTATTGTATGCATTTTTTAATTCAATTATTTAGGTTGGTGCGCGATCTGCGTGGCAAGTCCGAGAAGAATTTCAAAGCCTATGTTTCTCTTTTCATGCGACATCTCTGCGAACCAGGTGCTGACAATGCAGAAACATTCGCCGATGGTGTTCCGCGAGAAGGTCTCAGTCGGCAGCATGTATTAACGAGAATCGGCGTCATGTCTTTGATTAGAAAGAAGGTAATGGTCATTAAAAAAAAAGATATATATGTCGAGTTCTACTTCTTCACTCGGGTGTTACTAACCACGACAAGAAATATTAGAGAAATACAAGATACACATGGTATTACAGGTGCAGGAATTCGAACACATCAACGGCTATTATTCGATGCCGGAAATGATACGCAAACCAGTAGAGCCCGTCAAAGTTGGAGAGACAGTTGGAGAGGTAGCGACTGGTACTAGTAGCACCAGTGCTACCCCAGCCACTTCGAATGCTCCAAGCCCAAGCCCTGCTGCCACGCCAACTCCGACTTCTACCTCTGGTACAGGCAACGAGACTAACAAAGCGAATTCTGATTCATCCGAAGTTAAGGAATGTAAGGATGAAGCAAAGGATAAAGAGGTTGGTATATTGGATACTTCTATAACCACATCTACCATGAAAATGTTGTTCATTTGCGTAACGTAAAGATGCGAATTTTAAGATATTATTTCTCATAAACATATCACAACAAATTATCGTTTATCTTAGACTGGTGATGCGAAGGACATAAAGGAAGAGCCAAAGAGTTCTAAAGAGGAAGAGGAAGTGAGTTCCGAGAAAGATAAGGAGAAGGAGGACTTGAAGAAGGAAGAAAAAGATGCTGAAACGGAGACTGCGGACAAGGAGAAGGACAAATCTGACGTAAAAGACGAGAAACCTGTAGTGAAACACGATGATAAAGTGGAGACCAGCGAGAATAAGAAAACTGAACCAGAAGAGGATGTTGTTATCGTTAAAGATGACGAAGAAGAAGTGGAGAAGCGAGAGGTACGTGCTGGTGTAAAATTGTAAAAGACTGCATCTTGTCAGCTTAATTCACACTGTTCTCTATTCTAGGAAAAGGATAACAAAGAGAAGGATGTCAAGGAGTGTGACACAGAAGTGATGAAGCCTAAGCGTAAATTTATGTTTAACATAGCCGACGGTGGTTTTACGGAATTGCATACGCTTTGGCTGAATGAAGAAAAGGCCGCAGTACCGGGCCGCGAGTATGATATCTGGCATCGTCGACACGATTACTGGCTCTTGGCCGGTATTGTCACGCATGGTTATGGACGCTGGCAAGATATCCAAAATGATATTCGGTAGTAGATGCTTTCCTTAACAAATAGTTCTTGATAATAACATTATTACCTTAGAACTGCAAGACATTTAGTCCTGTAACTCTAAAGCACAAAATGAAAGTTTTAATCACAGTTTCAAAGTCATAATGTGACGACGCTAATTATTCAAATCTCCTTTCGTTTCTACTCACACTAAGTTGTGCTTATTACAGGTTTGCAATTATCAACGAGCCGTTCAAAATGGACATGGGAAAAGGCAACTTTTTGGAGATAAAGAATAAATTCTTGGCAAGGCGCTTTAAACTCTTAGAACAAGCTTTGGTAATCGAAGAACAGTTGAGGCGGGCTGCCTACTTGAATCTCACGCAGGATCCTAATCATCCCGCCATGAGTCTTAACGCGCGATTCGCCGAGGTTGAATGTCTTGCTGAGTCTCATCAACATCTTAGCAAGGAGAGTCTTGCTGGTAACAAACCAGCGAACGCGGTGTTGCATAAGGTTGATTCAATTAAATTCATTACATTAAAATGTTTTTAAATACGCAAACAGGTTAACAATCTAAATGTTTCTTACAGGTGTTAAATCAACTGGAAGAGTTGTTGTCTGATATGAAATCAGATGTGAGTCGTTTGCCAGCAACTTTGGCTCGCATCCCACCAGTCGCTCAGAGACTCCAGATGTCGGAGAGGTCAATATTGAGTCGTCTGGCAGCCACGGCACCCGGTGGTACTAGTTCTCAGACTGGACAGGCTGCGTTATTGGCACAGCAGTTTCCAGCCGGATTCTCCGGAGGACAATTACCAGCCTCCTTCGCGGGCGCTGTTAATTTTGGGAACTTTAGACCGCAATACTCAGTTCCGGGGCAACCACCGCAAGGTTTCACAGGTCCGTGATAAAACAATAATAATAAAGAAAAAGAGATGGTCACAGCCTGTAATAGCATCGTTAATTATTCCATTACAATCTTTGACATGATCTTCGTGTAACGGGATATTGTTTTTTTTTTACAGCCTGAATGTTAAGTGTTGGAACACAGTGGCTCAAACAAGAACTCAAAATAGCGCAAATTGAACTGTCTCGTGAGAATCGTTTGCGCTGTAACATTATTTTTCGTAAATTACAGTTTTTAGCTGAATTTTTCTAGAAAAGGGGTACGAAGAAGTTTCCAGGTGAAAACGTAATATTTTACAAATCAAGTTGCATTACTTCTGTATTTATTACGTGTACATTCGGCATCTAGATTCAAGATTTCACATTCTCTGTATTTATACATGCGTTCTTTATAGGAAACGACATAGATTATTTTCTTAAGTTCATTTTTTAAGGATTTGATTTACATCCTTTTTAGCTCTTAATGTATTGCACGTAGTGAAAAACAAGTACATTATTTACTTAAGTCTATTTAAGACCTTTTAGTTTATAATATCAAGTTTCTCCATGTCGTCACTTAAGGTGCTTTAATACAAACAATCTATCACTTGTAATTTATTCACGAAATTTGCGACAATAGGTTACGCGCGAGCGATGAACTTTTAGAACATCTACGATACTTTAAGGCCTGTGGTTCATTTTGAATTGAATACGTTCGCTATGGTGGACAACGGCAATCACTTTGTGCGTCAAAGACTGACAGTCGGATGAGGTAGTTGAGCAACTTTTGCTGCATAATGCACTTATATTGTAATGCATGGGTTGTAGAATTCCGGTATGATGCGGAATTTCTTTTAATAGCCCCATTGTTTTTATTTAATCATTATATTGAAGAAATATTTCGCGTAACCTTTCGACAAGAAAGAAAAAATTAATAAGGTGATCTAAGATGAATTTTTGTTACTTTCTCTTGATTTTGAATGCATTTTTTATTATTTAGGAAAGAACAAGTCATTTTTCTACTGAGAGAGAGGGGGGAGAGAGAAAGAGAGAAGTTTCTTTTGTACGAGGATAAGAGACAATGCATTTTAACATTCGAAAACAAATATAGAAGTTATCATTATTCTATGTGCGCACATATAACATCGGTATCTCTGTACATATATGATCATATTTATAAAAATAAAATCACTCGATAATTCCAATTCACGTATAGTAGACTTGTAAATTATGAGACACGATTCGCTATAATGCCCCATGCATTACCATAAAGTGAACTAAATGCACTCACAAGATTTTGATGAACTTATAGTAAGCGTATGCGTATTGTTCAGTCTTTTCTACCCGTTTTGAAAAACAGAATCAGCTTAATTTTCCGTTAACGAACTCGCCAAATCACTGCTTTTGGCAGGTCTGAGTTTTCAAAATCAGTTTAGAATTTAGCTATGAAAATTGAAAAACGATTTGAGGAAAAGCGGAGATGGAGTGAATGGAATATTATTAAAAAGAAGAAAAAAAAGAATCGTTTGTGTATGTATTAGATTACTGGAATAAATTAATAATAATTAGAATGGGAGTGTATGTTTTCATCCTCAAGCATGATATGTGTAACAGTACTGTTTTAATGTTGTTAAATACATTGCAACAATTTGAAAAATAGGCATTTTCAATATATATAAAAATGCGAAAGTGCAGCGTTGTTTAAGTTTTTTATACGTAATTTTTTTCAATTCTCGATTTTCGCGATTT